TCTGGGACTGGGCACGGGTGGAGGCCCGGCGGGAGGGGAATTTGGGCAGATGACAGACCTATGAGTCAGAGTTTGCCTGTGCCAAGGGCGCGCGGCAAGGAGGAGCTGGCGCCCGAGTGCAAACCCCGTTCTGTGCTTTCCCAGGCCCAGCGGTCAGCCCCTGTTCCCGGTCGCCTCCAGGCAGTATCTGGTGGGGAAGACGCCGGAGCTGGAGCTCGAGCCAGGCATACGCAAGCCCTGCAGCGAGCCTGGGCACCCCAGAGAACAAGAGCCTTTTCTCCAGGTATTCGGGCCGGGCCTCAATGTGGCTGCACACTCCCGAGCGCTCTGGATACCCAAAGTGAGCGACCATCCGCGCTGGAACTGACCATAGTGGTGGAAGTCAAGGGCGGACTGAAGAACTGTACCCGAGAGGAGATTAGAGAGTGGGCAGCTCAGTGCCCTGTGGGGTCCTATACTGTCGCTGTTGGGACAAGTGGGGGACTCGGGCGGGGTCTGTGGGCGGGCAATGGGTCTTCACTGGATGGTTGTAGTTCGGTCTTCAGGGCAATGTCCCCGCTGGCAGGACCTACACGCTAGTGGATTGGGGGTGGTGATGAGCAGAAGGTTGGAAAAGAGTTTTTAATCAATAAAATTATGCTGGTGCAGCCATTATGGGAAATAGTATGGAGATTCCTCAAACAAACTAAAAATAGACTTATCATATGATCTAGCAATCCCACTTCTGGATATATATATCCAGAGGGAACCTTAATTCAAAAAGACACATGCACCTCAGTGTTCATAGCAGCATTATTTACAATAGCCAAAACATGGAAACAACCTAAATGTCCATCGACAGATGACTGGATAAAGACATTGTGGTGTATTTACACAATGGAATACTACTCAGCCTTAAAAAAGAATAAAATAATGCCATTTGCAGCACCATGGATGGACCTGGAGGATGTCATTCTAAGTGAAGTAAGCCAGAAAGAGAAAGAAAAATAGCATATATCATGCATATGTGGAATCTAAAAAAAGACAAACTTATTTACAAGACAGAAACAGACTTACAGACATAGAAAACAAACTTATGGCTACCAGGGAGGAGAGGTGGGAAGGTATAAATTGGGAGTTTGAGATTTGCAGATACTAACTAATATATAAAAAATAGATAAACAAAAAGTTTATACTGTATAGCACAGAGAACTATATTCAATATCTTGTAGTAACTTATAGTGAAAGAGAATATGAAAACAAATATATGTATGTTCCTATATGACTGAGGCATTGTGCTGTACATGAGAAATTGACACAACATTGTAAACTGGCTATACTTCAGTAAAAATATATTTAAAAAGTAATAAAAATAAAAATAAAATAAGCTACAAGGATGGATTGTACACCATGGGGAATATAGCCAATAGTTTATAATAACTATAAATGGAGTATAACATTAAAAATTGTGACTCACTATATGGTATACCTGTAACATATATATTGTACGTCAACTATACTTCAGTTAAAAACTATGATATTGTAAAATAAATACATACATAGTTTAAAATTCAAAAAATTTAAAAAATAAGTAAAATTATGCTTTGCTTTATTAAAAAATTTTTTTAAATAGAGGTACTGGGGATTGAACTCAGGATGTCCTGATGCTAAGCATGCGCTCCACCACGGAGCTCTACCTTCCCCTCGTATGCTTTGTTTTAAAAATAAAAAACAGACTGCTTAAGAAGTACAGGACTTTGTTTTGGAGGGAGGAACATTTTTGGAACTAGTTAGAGGTGGTGTTTGACAACACTGAGGATGTACTAAACGATATAAAACATTATAAAACATGTATAATATTTCCTATTTTATGTTCTATACTGGTATATACTACATATTACATCACACATTACATGTTACATATATACATAACATTGTAATCATATAAAATTGTATGTAGGTAACAGTGTAAAATTACGTAATGCAATATATACAATATATAACATAACATTAATGTTACATACATAATATAGATACAATATAAAATGCTATAAATATTATAAAATGGTTAATTCCATGTTACATGAAATTAATGAAAACAAAGAGGGGGAAAAACCAAAGTAAAAGTGTTCCGCCAGCTCCGAGTTGAGTGGTGTCAGGTAATCGTGCTGTGCAGCCCACGTGACCCACGAGACTTCTGGGAACGAATTAAGGAGACAAAAGCGATGCTCAGCCAGTCCACGGCCTCGAACTGAAAGTCAGCCGGAGCTGGGCGGGGCCGCGGCGGAGCCACGAGGCCCGCGGGCCCGCCCCTGCTGCCGTCAAGCATC